AATTCCAATTTTTTTTAAAGGGATAAGATCAATTCAGAAGTACTTTTTGTATCTTTTATTTATTCAAATAAAATTTGAAATGTATTTTTCTTTATTATTAATTTTTTCATTAAATAAAACAAAACAGACAGAATTCAATTGGTCTAATTCAGAACCGTCCGATAAAAATCGAATCTTATCCATTTTATAAATATATCAAGAGATAAATAATCGGTCTGGTCCTTAGATTTATTGAAGGCTTAAAAGGAGCCGTATGAGGTGAAAAATCTCATGTACGGTTCTGTAATAGAGATGGGAACAGTAATGTTATCACCGACTAGGATTATCTAACAGCTTAAGTACAGTTGATATAGTTGAAGCGCAATCCAAATATGGTTTTTGGGGATGGAATTTGTGGCGTCAACCTATGGGTTTCATCGTTTTTCTAATTTCTTCTTTAGCAGAATGTGAAAGATTACCTTTTGATTTACCAGAAGCGGAAGAAAGATTAATAGCGGGTTATCAAACCGAATATTTCGGGTATCAAATTTGGCTTATTTTACATTGCTTCCTATTTAAAACCTATTAATTTCTTCCTTGTTTTGTAACAGTTCTTTACTTTGGTGGTCCGAATATCTCTATTCCGTACATATTTGTTTCTGAATTTTTTGAAATAAATAAAGCATATGGAGTTTTTTGTAACAACAATTGGTATCTTATTTACACTAGCTAAAACTTATTTGTTCTTATTCGTTCTATCACAACAAGATGGACTTTACTAGGCTAAGAATAGATCAATTATTAAATTTTGGATGGAAGTTTCTTTTACCCCATTTCTCTCGGTAATCTATTATTAACAACTTCGTCTCAATTGTTTTCACTATAAAAAACGGACCTTCTATATTCATAACTTGTCTCAAACAAGAGAAAGAAAAAAAAACAAAAATAATCAAGATATTCACGATATGTTCCTTATGATAACTGGATTTATGAATTATGGTCAACAAACAGTCCGAGCTGCAAGGTACATTGGTCAAAGTTTCACGATTACCTTATCTCACGCAAATCGTTTACCTGTAACTATTCAATATCCTTATGAAAATAATCACATCGGAACGTTTCCGTGGTCGAATACATTTCGAATTTGAATAAATGCATTGCTTGTGAAGTATGTGTTCGTGTATGTCCATAGATCTACCCGTTGTTGATTGGAAAACTGGAAACTGATATTCGAAAGAAAACGATTGCTTAATTACAGTATTGATTTCGGAATCTGTATATTTTGTGGTAACTGTATTGAGTATTGTCCAACAAATTGTTTATCAATGACTGAAGAATATGAACTTTCGACTTATGATCGTCACGAATTGAATTATAATCAAATTGCTTTGGGCCGTTTACCAGTGTCAGTAATTGATGATTATACAATTCGAACAATTCAAATAAAATTAAGTTAATTATAATATAATTATAAAATCTTTTTCTAAAAATAAAGATTATATAAATCAAATCATATTCGATATATTTCTATATATAAATATATGTATTTGAATAATATATATGAATAATATAAATTTGGATAATAAGAAAAATGTTATTAAAAAAAAAGAATAAATCTTAGAGGTAGATATTTTTATATTAGATATTCTATTAGTAGAAATATTCGATACATATATTATATATATACTTTAGTTTTCGTATAGTTTCAAACTACTCTTTCATAGAAAGAATGGAATGACATTGATCCTATAACTGTACCTATAGCAATTCACACTTATTATCTTAGGATTTGATTGAATTCAATGCGGAGAGAAATTATATAATTATTAATTTTCCTGGTCATATCAATAGTATGAAATTCGATTATTTATCTCTTTTATTTTACATATAATGGATTTGCCTGAACGATACATGATTTTCTTTTAGTCTTTGGACCATTCATATCAGTCATATCAATTATAATAAGCTATTCAGTAATTCCTTTTAATTATAACTTTGTTTTATCTGACCTCAATATCGGTGTTTTTTTATGGATTGCTATTTCAAGTATTGCTCCCATTGGACTTCTTATGTCAGGATATGGGTCAAATAATAAATATTCCTTTTTGGGTGGTCTACGAGCTGCTGCTCAATCGATTAGTTATGAAATACCATTAACTCTATGTGTGTTATCAATATCTCTACGTGCGATTCGTTGAGACAGAAGCTTTTCGATACTATTGCTATACTCCCCCCTTTCTTTATAGTGCTTTCTAGTAAAGAAGGATAATAAATTGAATATATATCCTTATCATTATTCTTTTTCGAAATTCGGATTGAAGAATTTAATCAGATAGTTATATGAGTGAAATAAAACAGCTTCTATTGAATAGAATTTATTAATTCTATATATATACTATATTACTTATAGTTATATATTACTTATAGTTAATAGATAGTATGAGGAGTTAAAATTGCAGTCAAAATATTGAGTCTCATTTTCCATGTATAAGAATTAAGTGAAAAAAAAAATTCTATTCTATTTCTTCAGTAGAAGAGGTCATTTACCCCCAAGGTTGGTTGATTAGTCATCCTGTCTTGAAGCGGGCACAAAAGAAAAACCAACCTTTTTTTTGAGTTTTCACTATCATTTGTATGAATTATCATACATGTATTAACATAACTAAAGGGGTTTAATAAAAAAATGAATGGATGGGTAGAAACACCAAAATACACAAAGGATTAGTAACGCAAATTTTTTTAAATATCCAAAAGAGCATTTATACATAATAGAAAAAGAATACTAATTGGGGCTTTAAGTTGGTAGAAAAAATCAGGCAGTACTCCCTACAATTCCGATCCAGAGTATGCTCCCATCCACTGATTAAATAAATGACTATCAGGAACGAAATAATCCTTTACTTTTGTTTTCATTAATTCACTTTTTTTTTTGAGTCCCTTTTTAGTTGCACAAAAAAAGGCTAGGAGCGAAAGAAAAAGTGATACCCTTTTTCTTTTTTTTTCTTACATCTATATTCTAGGAAGATGGAATTCATGTCATAATTCAGAAAACGAATGTATAATTCTTTTTTGTAATCGAAAATGATGGAGAAGTTATTGAGAATTCTATAAAGAGTATTTTATTGAAGAATTCAGTTATTACTCAACAAATTCCAATTTTTTTTTAAAGGGATAAGATCAATTCAGAAGTACTTTTTGTATCTTTTATTTATTCAAATAAAATTTGAAATGTATTTTTCTTTATTATTAATTTTTTCATTAAATAAAACAAAACAGACAGAATTCAATTGGTCTAATTCAGAACCGTCCGATAAAATCGAATCTTATCCATTTTATAAATATATCAAGAGATAAATAATCGGTCTGGTCCTTAGATTTATTGAAGGCTTAAAAGGAGCCGTATGAGGTGAAAAATCTCATGTACGGTTCTGTAATAGAGATGGGAACAGTAATGTTATCACCGACTAGGATTATCTAACAGCTTAAGTACAGTTGATATAGTTGAAGCGCAATCCAAATATGGTTTTTGGGGATGGAATTTGTGGCGTCAACCTATGGGTTTCATCGTTTTTCTAATTTCTTCTTTAGCAGAATGTGAAAGATTACCTTTTGATTTACCAGAAGCGGAAGAAGAATTAATAGCGGGTTATCAAACCGAATATTCGGGTATCAAATTTGGCTTATTTTACATTGCTTCCTATTTAAACCTATTAATTTCTTCCTTGTTTGTAACAGTTCTTTACTTTGGTGGTCCGAATATCTCTATTCCGTACATATTTGTTTCTGAATTTTTTGAAATAAATAAAGCATATGGAGTTTTTGTAACAACAATTGGTATCTTTATTACACTAGCTAAAACTTATTTGTTCTTATTCGTTTCTATCACAACAAGATGGACTTTACCTAGGCTAAGAATAGATCAATTATTAAATTTTGGATGGAAGTTTCTTTTACCCATTTCTCTCGGTAATCTATTATTAACAACTTCGTCTCAATTGTTTTCACTATAAAAACGGACCTTCTATATTCATAACTTGTCTCAAACAAGAGAAAGAAAAAAAACAAAAATAATCAGAGATATTCACGATATGTTCCTTATGATAACTGGATTTATGAATTATGGTCAACAAACAGTCCGAGCTGCAAGGTACATTGGTCAAAGTTTCACGATTACCTTATCTCACGCAAATCGTTTACCTGTAACTATTCAATATCCTTATGAAAAATAATCACATCGGAACGTTTCCGTGGTCGAATACATTTCGAATTTGATAAATGCATTGCTTGTGAAGTATGTGTTCGTGTATGTCCCATAGATCTACCCGTTGTTGATTGGAAACTGGAAACTGATATTCGAAAGAAACGATTGCTTAATTACAGTATTGATTTCGGAATCTGTATATTTTGTGGTAACTGTATTGAGTATTGTCCAACAAATTGTTTATCAATGACTGAAGAATATGAACTTTCGACTTATGATCGTCACGAATTGAATTATAATCAAATTGCTTTGGGCCGTTTACCAGTGTCAGTAATTGATGATTATACAATTCGAACAATTCAAATAAAATTAAGTTAATTATAATATAATTATAAAATCTTTTTCTAAAAATAAAGATTATATAAATCAAATCATATTCGATATATTTCTATATATAAATATATGTATTTGAATAATATATATGAATAATATAAATTTGGATAATAAGAAAAATGTTATTAAAAAAAAGAATAAATCTTAGAGGTAGATATTTTTATATTAGATATTCTATTAGTAGAAATATTCGATACATATATTATATATATACTTTAGTTTTCGTATAGTTTCAAACTACTCTTTCATAGAAAGAATGGAATGACATTGATCCTATAACTGTACCTATAGCAATTCACACTTATTATCTTAGGATTTGATTGAATTCAATGCGGAGAGAAATTTAGTATTTAGTATATAATTTTTTTCCTGGTCATATCAATAAAGTCATGAAATTTCGATTTATTTATCTCTTATTTTACATATAATGGATTTGCCTGAACCGATACATGATTTTCTTTTAGTCTTTCTGGGATCGGGTCTTATATTAGGAAGTCTAGGAGTAATATTACTTACCAACCCAATTTTTTCTGCTTTTTCGTTGGGACTGGTTCTTGTTTGTATATCTTTAGTCTATATTTTATCAAACTCCCATTTTGTAGCTGCATCGCAGCTACTTATTTACGTGGGCGCTATAAATGTTTTAATCATATTTGCTGTAATGTTCATGAATAGGTCAGAATATTACCAAGATTTTCGTCTTTGGACCATTGGGGATGGAATTACTTTGATGGTTTGTACAAGTATTTTTGTTTCACTAATAACTACTATTCCAGATACATCATGGTACGGGATTATTTGGACTGTGAGACCAAATCAGATTATAGAACAAGATTTTATAAGTACTAGTCAACAAATTGGAATTCATTTATCAACAGATTTTTTTCTTCCATTTGAACTCATTTCCATAATTCTTTTAGCTGCTTTGATAGGTGCAATTGTTGTGGCTCGCCAATAAGAACTTATTCTAACTAATAATCTAAATCTGAATTCTATTTTGTTTAATTTTCTCCCAGTTATTTCCGTTGAATTCTTGTTCATATTGATGAAATGAATCAAAATTGGTAAGGAGTTGGTCAATGATGTTCGAGCATGTACTTATTTTGAGTGCCTATTTATTTTCTATGGGTATCTATGGATTAATCACGAGTCGAAATATGGTTAGAGCCCTTATGTGTCTTGAACTTATACTGAATGCAGTTAATATAAATTTCGTAACCTTTTCTGATTTTTTTGATAGTCGCCAATTAAAAGGAAATATTTTTTCAATTTTTGTTATAGCTGTTGCAGCCGCTGAAGCAGCTATCGGACCTGCTATTGTTTCCTCAATTTATCGTAACAAAAAATCAACCCGTATGAATCAATTGAATTTGTTGAATAAATAGTATTGATTATAATAAATCATAAAAAGTAGAATTTAGAATGAATAGTGTAATATTTATCAATTCAAATTAGCATGTATGATACGCAACTTAGAATCATGTTTGTGAAAATAAATAAAAGAAATCAAAGTATTTTGGTCCTATTCTCTTCTTATGAATTGATCTATAAGTCTATTTTTATTAGCAAAATTCTGATAAATCATTGATTCATCTGGTGTCTAAATATAGAATTCATTTACGAGTTTACTAGATCGAAAATTTTCAATTTTTGATGTTCAAAGATTTCTATAGATTCAATGTCACATTCAGTAAAGATTTATGATACATGTATAGGATGTACTCAATGTGTTCGAGCCTGCCCCACAGATGTATTAGAAATGATACCTTGGGACGGATGTAAAGCTAAGCAAATTGCTTCTGCCCCAAGAACAGAGGACTGTGTTGGTTGTAAGAGGTGTGAATCCGCCTGTCCGACGGATTTCTTAAGTGTTCGAGTTTATTTATGGCATGAGACAACTCGAAGCATGGGTCTAGCTTATTGATACGTTTCAAAAAACACCACACAAATACGTTTTTTTTTACTGACAAAAACCCGCGCTCAAAATAGAAAAAAAATTGCTTTTCTATTTTGAGCGCGGGTTTTTCTGGTCTAAGTATATCTTATTTTTATCACGAATTATTTTCCTTGGTTAACAATAATTGTAGTTTTGCCAATAGCTGGAGGTTCCTTAATTTTCTTATTTCCTCATAAAGGAAATAAGGTGATTAGGTGGTATACTATTTGTATATGCTTAATGGATCTCCTTCTAACAACCTATGCATTTTGTTATCATTTAGAATTGGATGATCCACTAATTCAATTGACAGAGAATTATAAATGGATCCATTTTTTTGACTTTTACTGGAGATTCGGAATAGATGGACTCTCTTTAGGACCCATTTTATTGACAGGATTTATCACCACTTTAGCTACGTTAGCAGCTCAGCCGGTTACTCGAGAATCACCATTTTTTTATTTCCTGATGTTAGCAATGTATAGTGGTCAAATAGGATCATTTTCTTCTCGAGACATTTTACTTTTTTTCATCATGTGGGAATTAGAATTAATTCCCGTTTATCTACTTTTATCTATGTGGGGGGGTAAGAAACGTTTGTATTCAGCTACAAAGTTTATTTTGTACACTGCAGGAAGTTCCATTTTTTTATTAATGGGAATTCTGGCTATGGGTTTATATGGTTCTAATGAACCAACATTAAATTTTGAATCATTAACTAATCAATCGTATCCCATGGCGCTGGAAATAATTTTCTATATGGGATTTTTTATTGCTTTTACTGTCAAATCGCCAATTATACCTTTCCATACATGGTTACCAGACACCCACGGGGAGGCACATTACAGCACTTGTATGCTTTTAGCCGGAATCTTATTAAAAATGGGAGCATATGGATTGGTTCGAATTAATATGGAATTATTATCCCGCGCTCATTCTATATTTTGCCCCTGGTTAATGCTATTAGGTTCAATTCAAATAATCTATGCAGCTTCAACATCTCTTGGTCAACGTAATTTAAAAAAAAGAATAGCTTATTCCTCAGTATCTCATATGGGTTTCTTAATTATAGGAATTAGTTCTATAAGCGATACGGGACTTAATGGCGCTATTTTACAAATAATCTCTCATGGATTTATTGGCGCTGCGCTTTTTTTCTTGGCGGGAACTAGTTATGATAGACTACGTCTTCTTTATCTCGACGAAATGGGCGGAATGGCTATCCCAATGCCAAAAATATTCACCATTTTCACTATTTTATCGATGGCTTCTCTTGCATTGCCGGGCATGAGCGGTTTTGTTGCAGAATTGATAGTTTTTTTTGGAATAATTACCAGCCAAAAATATCTTTTAATTACAAAAATACTAATCACTTTTGTAACAGCAATTGGAATGATATTAACTCCCATTTATTTATTATCTATCTTACGGCAGATGTTCTATGGATACAAGCTTTTTAATACACCAAACTCTTATTTTTTTGATTCTGGGCCACGAGAATTATTTATTTCAATTTCGATCCTTATACCCGTACTATGTATTGGTATTTATCCGGATTTCATTTTCTCATTCTCGGCTAACAAAGTTGAAGCTATTCTATCCAATTTTTTATAGATAGTTTTCGTGAATATGAATAAATGAAAAAAAAAAAAGAAAAAATAGTAAAAAATCTTATGTACAATAAACAAAATATTTTTTTCTTGTATTAACTTACAAAAAAATGAATTTAAGTTGTAATTGAATATGCTTGTTGTTTGTGAGAACCCCTTGAATCACTACTACATTACTTGATTTAAAGGGTTCTCGATGATTTATGGGAAGTTTGCTTCATATATATATATTCTTTCTTATATATAATATAATGAATGGTTTCCATATTTATATTTGTGAAGTTTTTTTTCACTCACTTTAATTCAATTAGATGTAAATGAACCATAACTATGTAGTCCTATTCCTAATAGATTTATTCCTAAATAACATACCCAAATTATAAAAAAGCCCATAGAGGCCACTATTGAAGAATTTAAATTTTCTACTTTTTTCTTTTTTCTAGTATGTAAATAAATTGCGAATATAGTCCAAGTAATAAAAGCCCAAGTTTCCTTTGGATCCCAATTCCAATATGACCCCCATGTCTCATTAGCCCATACTGCTCCTGAAATAATACCTATTGTTAAAAGGATAAAACCTAGACTAATAATACGGTAACCCCAACGATCTAATTGTTGAATAAATTGAGACCTGTAATAATTTCTAGAAGAAGAAAAAGAAGTTTTTTGTAAAACATTATTTCTTTCATTCATATTCATGTATTTGATTTCAGCAAACGAAAATGATTCATTTAAAAAATACAAATTATTGCTTTTACCAATAATTTGTATGAGTTCTCGAAATGAAATGACTAAAATAGCTACTGATAATAATGATCCACATAAAAGAGTTGCATAACCCAATATCATCATACTTACATGCATAATTAACCAATGGGATTGTAGAGCAGGTACTAATAGTACGGATTTTTGCATTTCGGTTAAAAGACCTGAAGTAGCAAAGCCTTGGGTAAAAATAACACTTGGTGCGATTATTGTATTTAAATAGTTGTTTTTATGCTTTTTGAAGCATGGAACCATATAAAAAATGGAAAAATTCCATGAAAGAAAGATTAATGATTCATATAAATCACTAAATGGTAAATGGCCCGAAAAAACCCAACGAGTAACTAACAATCCTGTTATACAGAAAAAAGTTATTATCATGCCTTTTTTGGACGAATCATATAATCCTAGGATTTCATTGACCGATAAAGTTATCAAATGAATTGAAATTACAATTGATACAACCGAAAACGATATATGAATTAATATATGCTCTAAAGTTGAAAATATCATATAGAATAAATAAAAATCAGAATACTAGGAATAGAAATAGGAATTGAGTTCATTATAGGACTTATTCTTTTGGAGGATAAGATATCATGCCGCTACTCGGACTTGAACCGAGATGCTCTAGCACTGCTTCCTAAGAGCAGCGTGTCTACCAATTTCACCATAGCGGCTTACTCGAAATCATAATAACCAATTTTTAGTCAATTGTCAAGATTCAAATAAAGAATCAATTAAAGTGTAATATTTGTTTACTAAACATTAACGAATTAAAAGAAGTCTATTAGAGAATCTATTAGAATTTTCGAAATTCTATATCTATATATATATTATTATTCTATATTCTTATTCTAAATATATTACATTTTTTCTTATTCTAAATATATTACATTTTAGAAAATTTTAGAAAGGAATAGAAAAATAAAATTAAGAATATAGAATAAATAAAAAAATGGTGAAATTTTTCATCAAAAATGGAACACTACATTCAAAGTATTTTTTTATTTAGAATATCGTTATACATATCCTAAATTTGTAGAATACTAATTTAGATATGAAAAACGAATTTAGATATTCCAATTATATTAGTATTTTAATATTCAAAAATGTTATTTGAATAAAGTTAATTCAGATTATTCTGACGTTTGTATTTGTTACAAAAAAAACTTTTTGAATTCCCCGTAAAAATAGATTGTGCTAATGAAAAAGCTTTTAATGTTGTCCAATATCCCCTCTTTTTCCAAAAATTTTTTCGAATGATTTTTTTTGATATAGAAGTGCGCTTTTTTGGAACTGCCATCGAGTTAGTATAGTTTTTCATTGTTATAGTTCGATGTGAAAGACATTTTTTTCTGTAAATGAAAAGGAATTCTTCTTTAATTACCCATATATCTTATGTATCTTAATGCTCCCTTTTTGCTTCCTATCTCTAAAGTAAAACATTGAATATTATAACTCTTTTTCCAGACATGAATATCTTTTTATTGTAATGGAAAATACTCAATTAGTTCAAAAATGAACTAATGCTTAAAAAAAAAAGAATTATTGAGTAATGTCGTAGGAATTGTAATTTTTTAATGAATATCAAAATAAACGAATCTTCGTAGTTTTAGTGTAATTCATTATTTATCCTCACTCTATACTTTTGTATAATTGTAAAAAAAAAAATAGAAATTCACATTTTTATTTTTACATATTTCCTTTTTATTATTTTATTAAAATTACATTCATTATTTATTATAGTAATAGTAATAAATATGAGAAAAAAAAAAGAAACTCTTTTTTTTTTTTTTACTAGGAATAGGAATTTGGTTATTGGTCCATTTTCAGTTTGTACTTAGTAATATTCGAATGGAACAAAGATTCAGAACAATTAATGTAATTCTATTTCTAGATTCACTTCTTTTATTAACCGACCCTTTTCTTTACAAAAGAGATGAAACAAAACTGACGAATAAGAAACAAAATTCATTAAGAATCCAATCCATTTGTTTTGTTTTTGTATGGAATATACACATCAATCTTCATGGATCATACCTTTCATTCCATTTCCAGTTCCTATGTTAATAGGAGTGGGATTTCTACTTTTTCCGACGGCAACAAAAAATCTTCGCCGTATATGGGCTTTTCCTAGTATTTTTTTATTAACTATAGTTATGATTTTTTCGATTGATCTGTCTATTTATCAAATCAATAAGGGTTCCATCTATCAATATGTATGGTCTTGGACCATAAATAATGATCTTTCTTTAGAGTTTGGATACTTGATCGATTCACTTACTTCTATTATGTCAATTTTAATTACTACTGTTGGCATTCTGGTTCTTATTTATAGTGATAATTATATGTCTCATGATCAAGGATATTTGAGATTTTTTGCTTATATTACTTTTTTTAATATTTCAATGTTGGGTTTAGTTACTAGCTCGAATTTGATACAAATTTATATTTTTTGGGAATTGGTTGGAATGTGTTCTTATTTATTAATAGGTTTTTGGTTCACACGTCCTATTGCAGCAAATGCTTGTCAAAAAGCATTTGTAACGAATCGTATAGGAGATTTTGGTTTATTATTAGGAATTTTAGGTTTTTATTGGATAACGGGTAGTTTAGAATTTCGGGATTTGTTTCAAATAGTCAGTAATTTGATTTATAAAAATGAAGTTAATATTTTTTTTCTTACTTTATCCGCCCTCTTGTTATTTTGTGGCTCAGTTGC